AGAGGTGGCAGCAGAGGCTGTTGGGATGCCTGCTGCTTGCGGTCTCTTCAACGATGATCACAAGATCAGCTCTATTTCGCTGTGTCAGAATGAAACTAATGAAGCAGTTGGCTTTGCATAGGACCATTGTGTTTGCACGCTACTGTTGCCTGGTGCGGGTTACAGCCAATTTCTGAATAAGTGAAACCTTCAGATCAAAGCCGCTTAAAGCGCAGCTTCGCAATGACAGGCGGAGGCGACCACCGGCAGCTTTCCAGTCCTGCAGCAGCTTAGCGTGGGTTGATGTTGCCGTCGTGGTAGTGGTGAAGCATCACTGTCCCGTGATGAGAGGGCCACTAGACGTTAGCAGCTAAGCATCCATGAGTCAAGGCAACCAGCAAGTGTGGGTGAAAGGAGTCCTGGCTGAAGTCTAATGCAGACTGTCCGGGGACATGTCATCTGGCTAGCTAAGACGGTTTGTGGCATAGTCATGCATCGAGGCTTCAGGCAGCCATCCAAGCCCGTGTTCAGGCCACATGCGTTCCGGAGTTGGCAGTCGTTAGTCCATGCCACATTTTCCTCCGAACATGAAGACTTGCAGATTCAGAATGACTTGTTATGGGAGGCCAGGAAGGCCGATACGACAAGCGCACCGGTCCATCCCTTGATCCTGCAGCTTTTGGCGTTGCTTCGGGCTGCCACGCACTAAGGAAGCGCCACAAGCAGCGCAAAGGATTGAGCAGCCAGCGGAGGAGGAAGAGGCAGAAGAAGACGAGGAGGAGGAGGAGGAGGGCGTGCTTGAGGTTCTGGAGGACTGCTGGCACGTGTAGTTCAGCACCATAACTTGGCAGTAGCATGGCTTTCTCTAGCCCCCACAAGGGGCGGACGCGAGTTTGCTTGCTAGCCAGAAACAAACAACAAATGTTAGAGGAAAACAAACCTTTTCCAGAAACCTTTACTGGGGCTGGAAACTATGCTTTATGGCAAATATTATTTTCCCACCGAACACAAGTTTCTGGGAAAAGTTAGTTTCACAGTTTCCACTCAACTCAGGTTTCTGGGAAATTTTCGTTTCGCTAGAGCCGCTAGAGGGAAATCCAGAAACCAAAGTTTCCGGAAAACGTTAGTTTCTGCCCAAGAAACAAACGTTTCCGGAAAAGGGTATCAAAAGCAAAAGTTTCCGGAAAAGGTTAGTTTCTGCCCGAGAAAAAAAACTTTCCGGAAAAGGTTAGTTTCTGCCCATGAAACAAGCGTTTCCAGAAAACATTAGTTTCTACACAAAAACAAACATTTCCAGAGTTTCTGAGTCAGTTTGTCCCCCCCGCCCTCCCTCCCTCTCCCTTTCCACCTGTGGCAAGTTTCGAAACAAACGTTTCTATTGCGGAAA